CACATTCTGTACTCACTCTCACTTTCTGGCACCCTAATCCTGACCTCAGGGATCAAGATGCCCTTCTGGTGAGTCAAAGCCCCTGCTGTTTTCACCACCTGTAATAACTCCCTCCATTACTTCCCTGACCTCCTTTTCTCCCATAAAGTATTCATTTACATGTATTTTAACTAAAAGGCGAGAAATGGCATTATATAATTATTTTATGGTAAGTTTTGACTATTAGATTGAATCCTCCTACTTTTAAAAGAGGAGATTATAACTTATTAAAGAAAAGAAAATCTTGCTAGAATAACATCTGCAGAGCATTAATATGTTTGCAGCTCCACCAGCCATATTCCTGTCTTCTTGGCTTCTATCACAAACTTTCTAGGGAAGAATAATGGAATGGACAGAGAACCAGAGGCATCGACAACTCTGGGGATCCATTTAGAAAATGAGTCACTTTCTATCAATTCTTTATGAAAAGGATAAGAGATGGGTTTTGACTTTAATCACTATTAATTAAATTTTGCTTGTTTATCTCCATTCCTCCTTTTCTGAGGTCTTAGCCTAGCTCCAGGTTTGAATAAACCTGTGATTTCTGGGTAAAAATAATATAGGAATATTCAGATATTGTGCTTTTTATACTTAATGCTTTTTGTAAAATGAAGTTAACAAATCTTTGATGAATGTGTTTTTCTCTCAAAGTTCCATAATGTAATAGTGCCATTTAAAGATTTAAGTTATGTGTATGCTTTTATTTATTCATAATTGATGACATTACTTTTAAAATAACCTTGTTTATTGTAAATTTTAAATACAGATAAGAAAATTTAAACTCCCCCATAGACATAATCACCATGAAAATATGGGTATATCTATAATATTTTCTGCACACAGACACATGACAAAATTTTATATAGAGCATATACATATAAAGGCATAATGTGTTTTATTGTGCTTTGCTTTACTGCATTTTGCAGATATTGTGCTTTTCTAAAATTCAAGATTTGTAGCAACTCTGCATTGAGCAAGTCTCTTGGCGCCATTTTCCAATAGCATATGCTCATTTTGTGACACATTTTAGTAATTCATTCAATATTTCAAACATTTCCATTATTATCATAACTGTCATGGTGATCTGTCATCAGTAACCTTTGATACTACTTTTGTCATTGTTTTGGGGGCACCATGAACCATTCCCATATAAGACAACAAACGCAATAAATGTTGGGTGTTCTAATTGCTCCATGGACCAACCAGTTGTTTCCCCATCTCTCTTCTTGTCCTTGGGCCTCCCTATTCCCTGAAACATAACAATATTGAAATTAGGCCAATTAATAACCCTACAATGGCCTACACATGTTCAACTGAAAGGAAGAATTGCATTTCTCTCATTTTAAATCAAAAGCTAGAAATGACTAAGCTTTGTGAAGAAGGTATGTCAAAAACCAAGACAAGCTGAAAGCTGTATTACTCCCAGTGAACACAGGAATGATAAGAAAACAACCTCATTGCTAATATGGAGAAAGTTTGAGAAGTCTGGATAGAGGATCAAATCAGCCACATTGCCTTAAGCCAAAGACTGATCCAGAGCAACCGTCACTCTCTTTCTCTATGAAGGCAAAGAGAGGTGAGGAAGCTGCAGAAGAAAAGTTGGAAGTTAGCAGAGGCTGGTTCATGAGGTTTAAGAAAAGAAGCCATCTCCATAACATAAAAGTATAAGGTGAAGCAGTGAATGCTGATGTAGAAGCTACAGCAAAGTATCTAGAAGATATAGCTGTGATCATTGATGAAAGTGGCTACATTAAATAACACATTTTTCAATGCACATGAAATAGCCTTATTTCCAAAGAAGATATCATCTAGGACTTTCATAGCTGGAGAGAAGTCAATGTTCAACTTCAAACCTTCAAAGAATAGGCTGACTCTCTTGATAGAAACTAATGCATCTGGTGACTAAATTGGAATTAATACTCATTGACCATTCCAAAAATTCTAAGGGCCCTTAAGCATTATGCTAAATCTACTCCATGTGTGTGCTAGAAATGTCAAAACAAAGCCTAGCACATCTGTTGAGAGCATGGTTTACTGAATATTCTAAGCCCACTGTTGAGACTTACTGCTCAGAAAAAAGTGAAAAATTTGTTTCAAAATATTATTGCTCTCAGACAATGTACCTAGTCACCCAAGAGCTCTAATGGAGCTGTACAAGACATTAAGACTGTGTTCATGCCTGCTACCACATTATTCATTCGGCAATCCATGAATCAAGAAGTAATTTTGACCTTCAAATCTTATTATTTAAGAAATAAATGCTGTAAGGCTATAGCTGTCATAAATAATGATCATTCTGATGGATCTGGACATAGTAAATTGAAAGTAATCTTCTGGAAGTGATTCACCATTCTAGAGGCCATTAAGAACATTTGTGATTCATGGGAGGAGGTCAAAATATTAATATTAAAATTAACAGGAGTTTGGATGGAGTTGATTTCAACCGTTATGGATGAATTTGAGAGGTTCAAAACTTCAGTGGAGACAGTAACTGCGGTAGTGGTAGAAACGGCCAGAGAATTAGAATTAGAAGCAGAATCTGAAGATATGACTGAATTACTGCAATCTCATGATAAAACTTGAATCAATGAGTTGCTTTTTATGGATGAGCAAAGAAAATGATTTCTTGAATAGAATATACTCCTGGTGAAGATGCCATGGATTTAGAATATTATATAAACTCATTGATAAAGCAGCACCAGGGTTTAAGAGGACTTCAATTTTGAAAGAAGTTCTACCGTGAGTAAAATGCTATGAAACAGCATTGTGTGCTACACAGAAATCTTTTGTGAAGAGTCAATAAGTGCAGCAAACTTTACTGTTATCTTATTTTAAGAAATGTCAAAGCCACCCCACCTTTCAGCAGCCACCAACCTGATCAATCAGCAGCTATCAACACTGAGGCAACACTCTTCATCAGCAAAAAGATTGTAACTCAATCAAGGCTCCAATAATCAGTAGCATCTTTTAGCAATTAAATATTTTTAATTCAAGTTTGTACATTTTATTTTTAGACCTAATGCTATTGCAGCTTAATAGACTGTAGTACGGGATAAGCATAATATTTATATGCACTGGGAAACTAAAATATCTGTGTAACTTGCTTTATTGCAATATTGGCTTTATCGCAGTGGTCTGGAATCAAACTCGCAATATCTACAAGGTATGCCTGTTTGTGTATATGTATGTGAGTGTGTGTGTCACTGTGGGTGTAGTTATAATGTGTTTTATTATAGACACTACTATTTTTACTTAATCGTATATAGTGAAGGTCTTTCAATGTCATTAAATGTTCTTCCACAATATCATTCTTATTTGCTATTTAATGTTTGCTTATATAGCTAGAGAACAATGAATTTAATAAATAGCTTTATATGTGATATTTCAGGTTTAAAACTATTTATTAGTCACAACACTGCAATAAGTACCCTAGGCACCTTCTATGGTCTGAATGTTGTGTTCCTCCCAAATTCACATGTTGAAATCCTAACCCCAAGGCAATGGTATTAGGAGGTGGGGTCTTTGGGAAGGTGATTGGATAACAAGAACAGAGACCTCAAGAATAGGATAGGGCCCTTATAAAAGAGACCCCAGAGAGATCACTAGCCTGTTCAACCATGTGAGGCCACAGCAAGAGGATGGTTATGAACCAGAAAGCGGGCCCTCACCAGATACAGAGTCATTTGGCACATTGACCTTGGACTTCCAAACCTCCAAAATTGTGAGAAATAAATTTCTAGTGTTTATAGCCACCCAGTTTATGGTCTTTTGTTTATAAGCCACCCAGTTTATGGTATTTGTGAAACCAGCTGGGTCAACACCCATCCAGTTAGTATTTTTTTGAGGTAAGTACTTTTTGAATCAAGAACTAGGTATATATTTTGATACAAACTGTCAAATTGTCCCCCCAAAATATAATAATGTGGTCACAGTAGTGAACTCTGAAGTGGGATTATGGGTTACTTAAATTTCCTTTTCATTATTGATCATTGTTTCCAATTTTTCTACAATGAGTCAAATAGAGATACTGAGAATATTTCAAAAGCCATTCTCTCTCTCACTCTCGATTGACAGATAAATAGCTGCATACACCAAATTATGTATTTATGGATCTACATCATTTTGTTAGTTATCAAACTATAAAATTTAATTTTGAACTCTAAAGTATCCTTTAATGGTATTTATCCATTTAAAACAAACAGCCTATGCTTCATGTGTGCTTTAAATTATCAGAATAATATAACAGAATCTGTTGTTTTTAACATGTATGTTAGTGTCTTTCTCTAAAACATAAATGAAGCGATTTTCCCTTCTACTGATAAATAAAATTTTATGAACAGACTCTCAAGTGTTTCATGTCTTATTTCATTACCAGCAGTAACAACCTACTTCTGCCATCTTCCTAATGACAATTTTCATTATAGAGATAAGAAAAGGCATTACATTTAGAACAGGTGTAACTCCTTGGGGAATATTTCCATCAGTTCCTCTCATTTTCATGTTCAACATTAATCAACTCTTTCCCTATGAATCCACTACATTCCTTTTAGATATAATGTTTTAAGTTAATCAACTACCTACATCATTGTTTAGCTTTCAGGATCCATTTAGGTTAGCTTTCAGGAACCATATTAAGGAGCACAAATATTAAAGCTGTAAATGTATTATGAATTTACAGTTATGTTTCATTAAATTTAGAGTCCTTTGACATGAAACAAGGGCAGCAATAGAAAAACTCCTACATTCTATTCATCCTGTGAAAGTAATTGCACTCAGAAAGAGGTTTCCTGGCACAATTTAAAGAGGATAGTACGGGAAGACTTGAGTGGCCTTGGGGTATATTGCTACAGTTCTCCAAGCTATATAAGATGATTCCAATTTGACAGTTTTCAGTAAATATCTGGACCTGTCTTCCCACAGAAAATTAAAAGCAGCTTGGTTGATTTTCCTACTTACCGGTATTTTTGGGTCTCAGCCAGCCCGTAGCTGCATCTCACCACTTTCATTTGTCAGATCGGTGTGGTGCAGATGTCACACAATGGACATTAGAATGGTTCTTCAAGAAGTTCCTATGGTAGAAAACGGAAATTCATAAGAATGGGATGGTGAAAGATCAGTGTGCTCTATGCATTGTTTATTCAAAAAAGATTTACCAATCATTACTGTCAGGCACTAAGCTATGCGCTAAGTAATGCACTCCCTAATACTTGCAGATTGTAATTCCTAGATTACTTAATTTGCTCAAATATTACTGTTGTCTTTTAAATATCACTTGGATTATCCTTTGGACAATCTGACTTCTCAATACTCTAATTTGATTTCACAAAATGGATCCCAAGATAAGTACTTGAATGCAGTCAGTTTATTTGAGAGACAATTCCCAGAAGTAACAGAGAGGGAGCAAGAAGAGTGAGATTGAGGTGTATGTTATTGCATTAGTTACCAGAATTCACTGTAGCAGCTCAGCCTTTCTGAGGACCCTCTGGAGAATCATGTTGAACTGAACTACCCTTCCAAAGAAGGACAACTGGGGCATTTATCCAAATCCTTTTCTCAGCTGGTCTGGATTTGTCACCAGAAACATAAACCCCAACGTTTCAAAACTGCCTTCCTGGACTGAGAGAGGCCTTAAGGCTTCAGAGAAAGATCTCAGGTGGAAAAACAGGGAGATAACATGTACTGAAAGTGGGATAGCATCAGCAAGCACAGAAACTGTTCCTGGTAGCTATTGTTGATATCAGAGGTGAGTCTAGGGATGCAACCCAGGGCATGAAAACTGCAATTTCTTGTCTTATAGTGATTTTGTTCTCTCCGTATCCCAGATATTCACTCTCATATTCAAATTCTAACCCTGTTGTTACCCCTTCCCAACTCACAATTTTGAAAAATCCCTTCTCCAACTGTTGCTTACCATCTTTCAAACATTCCCTCTATAACACCTCATTTTAATTGTTCTTTTTTTCTTTATTTCTTTCTGATTTTTATTTTAGGCTCAGGGGTACATATGCAGGTTTCCTGTAAATTGTGTATCATGGGGGACTGGCATACAGATTTATTTTGTCAGCAAGTAATGAGCACCAGTAGGTGATAGGTGGTTTTAAAAACCTCACGCTCCTCCTAACCTCCATCTCCAAACAGGCCACAGCAGCTACTGTTTCCTACTTTGTGTTCATGTGTGCTCAATATTTAGCTCCCACTTATAAGTTAGAATATGTGGCATATGGTTTTCTGTTCCTGTGCTAATCCACTTAGGAACATGGCCTCCAGCTTTTTCCATGTTGCTGCAACATTAATGATTTCATTTTTTTATGGTTGCATATTATTTCATAGAGTATATATGCCACATTTTCTTTATCCAGTCCATCATTGATGGGCATCTAGGTTGTTTCGATGTCTTGGCTATTGTGAATAGTGCTGCAAAGAATATACAAGTGCATGAGTCTTTCTGATAGGATAATTTTTATTCCTTTGGATATATGACCAGTAACAGGATTCTGTGTCAACCGGTAGTTCCATTTTAAGTTCTCTGCTTTCCAGAGTGGCTAAAGTAATGACAATTTCATCTTTCATCTCTTCTATCATTTTACTGGATTCTTCAGATTCCTTGAATTGGGTTTCAGTTTTTTCCTGAATCTTGATGTTCTTTGTAGCCTTCAAGATTCTGAATCCTAAGTCTGTCCTTTAAGCCATTTCAGCCTTGGTTAAGAACCATTGCTAGGGAGCCAGTGCAATCGTTTAGAGGTAAGAAGACACTCTGGCTTTTTGAGTTGCCAGAGTTCTTGTGCTGGTTCTCATGCTGGTTTTCATCTGTATGAGCTGATGTTCCACAGCTTTTTGCTTTTATATTCTTTGCTGCCCTTGAGGGTTTGACTGTGGAGTAAGTTGAGTTCAGACAACTGACATCCTTTCTGGATAATTTTTGGGTGCCTGGATTTGGCTCAGCACACTTGGGGTGTATGCTGTATCCCCAGGAGGCTGGGACTAGGCCCATACCTTTGTTCTGTGACCCCCTTAAGTTAAATACCTGCTGCACTGGCAGAGCTGAGAGGTTCCCAATCTACTGGCAACAACACTCAAATGGGGATACCAGAAGAAGCACTTCCATGGGGGCACATCTGCTGAAGCTCTTCAATGTTTAGGCATGGCATTTTGGTGAAAGGAGCTATGACGGCAGCCACTAGGAGGAAGAGCGCCAGCTGGGTATCCAAGGCTACACTGCAAGTGGGTATAGCCAGGAATGGACCTTGAGAGGTAAGTCAGCAGTCAGGGGTGCTCTGATGTGACTGACCCTGTCCCACGGGCAAGACATTTCATTTCTGTCCATGTCCAGCAGTCAACAGAGGCCAAACTCACCTAGAGAAGCTGGTGAACTTCAGAAGATGGGCTTCCTTGGCCATGCTTCACTGCCACCATTCCCATGCTAAACACTTTTGAGTTCTGCACTGGCTGGAGTCCTGTCTCTTCCACCTCTCCAAGTAGCTCTCCCTGCCATTTTCAAATGTCCATGTGAGTCATGGGGTCTCCTGCAGCTAGGATTCCAGAGGTCCATGGTGAGAGTGAGCCACTCCTTTCCTACGTAATTCACTTCCTCCCCAGTAGCCACTGGCAGGGGTGGGGGGTAGAAACAAGTCCTGGTTCTTTTCAGCCTTATGCAAAAATCCCAGCTTCCTCTTCCTTCAGCCCAAGGTTTACCTACTCCCTCCATCCACTCTCAATTCCTTCCTTCCAAATATCTGGTCAGAATGTGCCAGTCTTCTTGATGGTCTGGTCTCTCAACGGGAGATGCTCTTCCTGGCTGTGTCTAGTCAGCCATCTTAGCTTTTATTTCAATCATTCTTAACCTTTATTGGATCCTACCATTCATTTATCCTACCACCTTTCCACTGCCCATAATTTTCTTTACATACTCACTTCCTTTCACAGCTTAAATCTACAGTTCAACTGCATAACTATTTTCTTGCATATATTCTCAACTCCCTTGCCTCTCTCTCAGTTTCTCTTTCCCGGCAAAATCCTAATACTGAGAAAGGCATCACTCCATCTATTCTGTGCCTGTATCCTTGCAGTTGAATGAATCTGGAGAAAAATACTACCATGCTGACTGATCTCACTTTTAAGCCTGGCCAATCTGCACAAGTGGGCTCTTAATACTGCCCAACAATCAAGCCATATTTCTCTAGTCATTCACACTCCTACCCTGTATAATTGTTTATATCTTCTAGTCTCACCTCAAACCTCTGTCAACTCTTGTTCATCCTAATTTTCAGTTGACAATCATGCTTCCTATATCTCTGAGAAAATAAAAGTAGAAGAGAATCCCCATAAGCTCCCATCACATCTACCCACCTCATTGTATATGTACCTCCTTACATTATTTTTTACTGTTAATATAGATTAGTTGTCCACACTTCTATGCAAGCTTAATGCTTCATCTTGTCTACTCCTGCTCAAGGACATCACACCTGCAAATATTCCCAATTGTCTTTTTTTCCCTATATCATAATTGTTTCTCCCCCTTCTGAAATCTTTCCCATATGCATGAAAGCATGCTAACATTGCTACCATCTTAAATAATAATATTAAACTTTCTCATTGTCTTACTACCCCTCCAGCTTATACTCCATTACACCACTTTCCTTTAAACAAAACTCCTAATTCAGAGTTGTCTATATTTACTTACACTCATTCTCTTTTGAATCAACTCCAGGAAGCCCCAGCCAAACTGCTCTCATCAAGAGCAAATACTAATCCCTTTCATATTTGATTGTTAAATTCTACAAGAAAGTCCTCTTATTTTTAACATATTTTTTTTTTTTTTTTTTTTTGAGACGGAGTTCCGCTCTTGTTACCCAGGCTGGAGTGCAATGGCGCAATCTCGGCTCACCGCAACCTCCGCCTCCTGGGTTCAGGCAATTCTCCTGCCTCAGCCTCCTGAGTAGCTGGGATTACAGGCACGCGCCACCATGCCCAGCTAATTTTTGTATTTTTAGTAGAGACGGGGTTTCACCATGTTGACCAGGATGGTCTCGATCTCTCGACCTCGTGATCCACCCGCCTCGGCCTCCCAAAGTGCTGGGATTACAGGCTTGAGCCACCGCGCCCGGCCCAATTTTAACATATTTTTATTTCAATACCTTTCGGATACAAGTGGTTTTCTGTTACATGATAAAATATATAGTGGTGAATTCTGAGATTCTATTGTACCCGTCACATAAACAGTGTACATTGTACCCAATATGTAGTTTACTATTACAAATATCCCTTCCAACCTCCCCATTATGAGTCTCCAAAGTCAATCATTTCACTCTGTATGCCTTGCATACTCATACCTTACCTCTTAGTTGTTAAGTGAGAACACATAATATTTGGTTTTCCATTCCTCAGTTACTTTACTTCATTTAGAAAAATGGCCTTCAATTTCATGCAAATTACTGCAAAGACATTACTTCATTTCTTTTCATGGCTGAGGAGCATTCTATGGTGTATGTGTGTCTGTGTGTGTGTGTGTGTGTGTGTGTGTGTGTGTGTGTGTGTACTTTATCCACTCTTTGGTCAGTGGGCACTTAGGTTTGTTCCATATCTTTACAATTGTGAACTGGGCTGTGATAAACATACAGGTGCATGTGTCTTTTTCACATGACTTATTTTTCACTGGGTAGATACCCAGTAGTGGGATTGCGACATTGAATGAGTCTGATCTACTTTTAGTTCTTTATGGAATCTCCATATTGTTTTCCATAGAAGTGTACTAATTACATTCCCACCAGCAGTATATAAGCATTCACTTTTCACCACATCCATGCCAAGATCTATTATTTTTTGACTTTTTAATAATGGCCATTTTTGTAGGAGCAATGTGGTATCTCATTGTGGTTTTAATTTTCATTTCCCTGATGATAAGTGAAGTTGAGCATTTTTTCATATATTTTCTGGCCATTTGCACATCTTTTGAGAAATCCCTACTCATGTCTTTTGATCACTTTTTGGTTGAATTACTTGGTTTTTTTCTTGCTGATTAGTTTGAGTTCCTTGTAGATTCTGGATACTAGTTCTTTGTCAGATGGACAGT